AAAAAATATAACAAATGATAACCGAATTTTTGATAAAAAAAATAATGGCCGGGACCAGATGGAAATTTTAGTCCCGTCCCGGTCCCGGTAAAAGATAAAATTTCGGTCCCGGTCCCGTCCCGGTCCCGATAAAAAATAAAATTTTGGTCCCAGTCCCGTCGCGGTCCCGGCGGGACCGGGACCGGGACCGGGACCGGGACCACTTTGCAGTTCCCTATTAGAGACATGTGGAACCAGTATCACGAGAAAAAAATTTGCTGGGATAAGAACTCAAGTTGATAGTAATGTATTCTATGGTTTTAAGCATATTATCTTATAAGTCATATGAATCAGAACATAATTCAAAAGAAATGATTCAAAAGAGTGCTAGCCGTTGACTAAATGAATCAAAAAAGATGTATTGAAGAATTCTTTTAGATGTGATACTAATGAAATCTGCAACAAGTTTTCCTAGATTGGGACCAAGACAGGAACCCGAACCCGGAAAACTAATATCACCGAGACTAAGAACAAAAAACACTTGGTTCTGCACACGTCTAGTCGCAGATATTATTTTTTTAATGACTTCTGGTTGTCAAGGTTCTAGCTGGTATTTGAGGTCCTTGGAGACAACAATAAATCATGATCGTGATTGACTTTTATGCAGCTGATTTATGATTGGAATATGGAGAAATATGAAACTGTCAAAATAACCGAGAGGAGCGTGTCTTATAGAGAACACAATATACAATTCATGATTCAATTGCTGATGAACGAATTGAACTCAAGTTTGTCCTTTTATGCATACACCCAAAATACTAACTAAAAATCTTCAAACTGAGTACTATAGAGGAGATTGTAGATAGTAATTTGCTACAACTTGCCTCAATTTTGATCATATATCCAATAGTAAAGAGAAGGATATAACGTTCCAAACAGTTGGTGGTATGAGCCAGGTATAACGTTGCTAATATGGTTATTACAAATAAATTGTTAATAATACTCCGTTTGTAACTGCTAAACTATTTATATGGTGATTTTGTGCCAATCTTTTTCTGCGCAATACGAAAGGCCTGATTTCGTTTTCTTTAAATAGAACAGAAGTAATGAGGCGTATGCACACTGCCTTTGTTTCACGGCACTCTTTCACCTCGTTTTTGATATAACGCCATTTTCTCTTTGATCAATGGCCAACGCTTCAGCAATTGACAGTCAACAGGCGAAATGTGAGTACGACTCACTGCTGCTATTACCCAGCCTCTTTCTTTATGCAGCATGAATTACTTTCTTTTTTTTGTGGAATAGAACAAATAAAAACTTCTTGTTATAGAAGTGCTTGTTTATCACGTTTTTCGATTAAACATCCAGTCAAATGATTTTGCTATTTATGCAAGATTAGTTGCTTGCTCTTTTAAACTTTATTTTTTACGTGGCATTATTCATCGTTTTTGTGAAATACGACCTGAAAGGAGTGTTGAAGTGTTTAGGGGTAGAAATTTGGGGTGGGTGTGTGTAGGTATGGGTATGTGGATGTGGATGTGTGTGGGTATCGGGTGGGTGGTGTGTGGGTGTGGGTGTAGTTGTGAGTGCGGATGTGGATGTGAGTGTGGGTGTTGGGTGTGGGTGTGGATGTGAGTGGAAATAAGGAGAACACCCACACCCACCCATACCTACACCCTTTCCACCAGTCTTCAATTGATTTTCATTACAAAAAGTCCAGTTCCAGTCGAAACTAATAACATATTTGGGATCAGCATAAAAAAACTGAGCCCATCTATATATGAATTTTCGTAGAAAATTATTAAATCAGTGAAAAGCAAGCTTTGAGCCTTTCAAAAGTCATTAACACACAAAAGCACAAAGAAATAAACAACAAAAATGAAGTTTCCGTTAAATTAATTTTTTTTGCTGATCCCTGAGGAGGACCTCAGTTAAAATTTTCGAGAAAAAAAGTTCGTAAAAAAAATGTTAAGACAAATATAGAATGGCTCAGTTTTTTATGCTGATTCCAAATGTGTTGTTGTTTTCGACTGGAACTGGACTTTTTGTAATGAAAATCAATTGAAAACTGGTGGAAAATACAAAAATATGAGATTCCAAGAAAATTTGGATCGGCTTATTTAACCAAGACCACTTCTAAGAAAATTGAAAAATATTGCATTTTATAGCCCATCTTTTGAGCTATGAGAATCAACCAAAAACCCGTATGGTTTTTTCCTTTCTCGAGATATTGAGAAAACAGTGAAGAGAAGTGCACATAAGTAATAAGAGAACTATATAATTTTTATGCTGACTCCGAGTAGGTTTAACACTATTACTCAGCAATACTTCGACCGTTCGAGCTGAAATTTTGACCAGTGATAGACTATAAGATTGTCAATCGTTTGACATAATTTTCGCTTCGAAATATCTTATTTGGACAAAAGACACATGTCTAATTCTATTGTGTGTGATTCATGTATTTATGGTACAAAAGTGAATAACAGTATTTGAGGCAAAAATCTATCAAAACTCTGGAAAAATAGCTTTATTTTGTCACCAAACGATTCCTTGCACAATTCTGCGTCTAGTTAACCACGAACCGACCAAAATTAACGATGGCCCAAAAAAGGCTCTTAAGCGCCCCCATTCTTTGGATGTTGATTTATCATTAAATATCGATTATTACAAGCAAGTAGAGGTTCCCATTCACCTGAACAATTAATAATTCGATAAGGTGTTGTAAGATTTACTAAATTACATTTATTTGGTTCAAATTCTTCAATAAAAATTAAACTATCGTCTGTTGTTAATGGACGAATATCGAGTTGTAAACGTGTATTTTCAATAGCTTTTATTTCATCATGAATATGACGAATAGTTAATTTTATTAAATCCATTTGTTATTGATTAGTTTCTTGTTGACGTATAAGTTCAGCCATTTTTCAACGTATTAAATTTAATTGTGTTCCTTGTTTATCAAGTTTCTGTAAACAATGTTGATCAAGTTCATAAATTTTTTGTTCATATAATTGATTTATTATTTTATAATAATTATCATGCCATTGAACAAGTTTTTGACGACAATCACCAATTAATTTGTCAGTATTTGATGATTTAAGTTGTTCGTCCAATTTACTAAATTCGTTAATTAAAGGATTCAATTGAGGATTATTCAAATCATCATGTTCTTTTAAGGGCCCCCCCCCCTCAGAAACGAACTTTGTTATTTTCTCATCCGATTTCAACCAAAATTTCAGAGAATATTAGTCTTGACTAGAGTAGCTTATGGTTAAAATATCTCCCACAAATCTCAAAGATTTGCACAAGTTCTAGTCAATTCATTACTCTTTACGCGGGCAAGGATTTCGCAATAAGGATACAAGCTAACAAGCCCGGGCGGTTTTCCAGTTGTAGAGTGCCCTTAGGGCTAGGACTTAACAGGCTTCGATTTTTGAATTTCCCTTTATTTGATTTTTAAAGAACGCTTTTCGAAAAATATTCAAATTCGAAGTGCTCATAGAAATGAAATATCTAAGTATTTTATTCTAGCAAAAGAGAGATTTAAAAATCGGAGCCTGTTAAGTCCTAGCCCTACATGTCTCCTATATAATAAAAAAAAATTATCACTTCCATGTCGAGTCGTTATGGAGAAAAACCTGCCCGCGTAAACTGCATGACAAAAAAACTGATTTTGAGAAAAACGAAAAATAAGTATTAGAAAGCGATTTTCTCGAAAATCACCTGATTTATATATCAATGTTCAAGACAGGCTAGAAATATGTCACCTTAATATTAAGTTCTAATAGTCTTGTAGTAATTAGTATAAAAAAAAGACTTTACGAAATGCTGATGCAAAGAGAAAGGAGCCTAAAAAGTCAAAAAACCTTGAAAAAACACAATGGAAATTTCCCGAAAAATATGATAGTAGAAGCCAAGTTTTAGACAATAAGTTCGTCAAAATCAATTCATTTTTCGATAAATCATAGATATTCTGAAAGAGGAGACTTCATTGCATCTTCCTACGATAAAACTTCAATTTCGACTTGTCTCTAAAAAATTGGATTTTCTGAGGGGGGGGGGCCTTAAATGATCATGACAAAGGCTTTTATTACAACATAAACATATCGAACGTGATTTATGTTTATATTTTTGTATGGTACATGTTCGAGGGATTGTAATAACTGAAGAAAAAAATACACAAAAATATTTTATATACCATCAGTTACAAGTTGTTATTTAAAATAGAATCGATGAAGTATTATTTCAAGCTCACTAAACACATACAAATTATTCTATACACAAAATCAACGAATGAATAGCATCGTTTCTTAACTCATAGAAAAAAGAACGTAAATAAACATAGACACCATACTTAATAAATTGACTGAAGTTTACCTAGCATTGAATAGTGTTGGAACAAAAAAGGTTTGATGATGTAAACTGAGAATTAAAAACCAATAAAGAATTTTGAAGTAATATACACATTTAGAGAAAAAAGTACTCATAAACCTATTTGAATTTTTTTTTCGAATCAGTAAAAACTGAAATAACGTTTTGAGTAGAAGAAACTGATCTTCTTTTCTTTTTTACTTCATGTAAAATTATGTATGTCAATATTTGCAAGTGCCTTGCTTATATTTCTTTAAATAATATTATACGACCTGATATAACTCTATATTCAGTATTGAACCCATCAGAGTTGAAAGAATAACGATAAGGTTCAATAGTATAAGATTTACTTACTTCCCAGTCTAACAAAAATTTTGAAAAACGCGTTTAAACGCACAAACAGGAATCGCGATTGTAAGTCATTAACGCTCATTAAAAAAACGCATGAAAACGCGTTTATTGGCGTTTTTTGTAACTTTCTGGGCGTCAAGACGGCGAAAACTCCAGTTTTTGAGTGTAAAAACGCATTGTTTTTAAATTCTAGAATAATAGAGAGTTTTAACTCTCAAAAATTGGAATTTTCGCCGTTTTGACGTCCAGAACGTTACAAAAAATGCCAATAAATGCGTTTTCGTGCGTTTTTTTAAATGAGCATTAATGACTTACAATCGCGGTTCTCGTTTGTGCGTTTAAACGCGTTTTTCAAAGTTCTTGTCTGACTGGGTAATGAAGAAAAAATCTATTAAAACCTGCATTTGAATGCATTTTTTTCTCCATGTTTATTAGAATTTCTTTGTTAAAAATTTTAAAGATTAAAGATGTGACATAACATAGTCAGTATTGCAAAAGTTGAAGTAAAGTCAACATGCAAATGATCTATCTATTCATTTATACTTAACTTGTTACTAGAGCGTAATAGAACACTTGAGAGTATGTCAACTATATTTCGTCGTTTGCAGCATTAACTACAATAAATCTTCTTCAATGTCTTAAGAACTTTCAGGAAAGAAAATATGGCCTTTACTAATCTTCTAAAATATGAGTATAGGGACAACCTATATAATTATCATGACAATCAAAATACAGGTGTCAATTGAATATGATTTGATGTTTTAAACTAGCGATGTACACAGTAGTTTCATAAGAAATTGCACTTTTCTTCAAATTAAACTCAATATTTCTGAGATATATACGTATGTCTTGTACATTTCTATGAATACTATCTATGAAATAGATAACTTTGAAGCTTGTAAAAAAGCTGTTAGCGCAATCCCTTGCGGGATTAAAAATGTGAAACACGAACTAACTAGTGTTATTGAAAACAAATAGTCTTTTATTCTATATAGTTTTGTCGCCTTTCAGTGTGTAAATTATAGAATTCGAAAATTTTAATTAGCTAGCTTTTGATACATTCTACAAAATTTAATGACTTACAACTACTAATCTTCTGTCAAATTGGTATTTATAGTGCATGATGTTCCTCAAGCTTTTTTATTGATCTGCAAGACGATACTATTATCAAGCACTCAATGGTTTTGAATTTACTGGTGAAGAAATAGAAAATAGATTTTTAATAACAGAAAAATTTGTATAAGAACAAAAGCATATGAGCAAGAATGTTAAGCGATAAAACAAGATGTTTAAGAACTTTAACTCTTAGAAACTCTTGCGTTACGTGATAATTGATAGATATCGTAGGATGATTTTGTTGCATATTCTCATCCGTGCTATATGTACATGAAAGAAAGTTTTATTAGTCAAGACTCAAAATCGGATCGCGTATTTATCAAAATGAGAAGAGTCTTATGATATGAATAAAATATATGAAGCAGAAATTTTATATCCTTGAATGTTTTTTTTTTAATTTTAATTATTTTCAATGTTATCTAATACTATACTATTGATTTGCATATTTTTCGGATTAAAATTAACAAAAACATTTATCGAAGATAATGCAAGTAAAACATCTTCTTGCTCGACTAAGTCTTTTTGACAAAGATCTTCTCGATTACATTGTTGCAATAAGGCTTCAATTTTTGATGAATCAACAATAAACTCAATCATATTTTGATCACGATCAACTACATTGAGTTTGATTTGTTCTGGTTTGACAGAATCTTTTACACAAAGTGATCTTGATTTACACGTAATGCATTTGATGGTTTTATCATTGCATTCCACATCTGTGGAATAACATCTTGGACAGCTATAATGTTTTTCTACCACACCAATTGACGTAATGACACCTGTTATTGCTGATTCATGTAAAATTTGAAGAAAATCTGAACATTTTACAGTACCAATATCTTGAATTATTTCAAAACTGAAAGTATTAAAAAAAGTTTTGGAATAACGTATTTTTATAAAGTCCATAAAAAAGAGTTATATTTAACTGATCAATGAGATAGTTGAAATTAGCAGTAAACAAGTTGAGCGATAGATATATTAGATCAGCAATATATATATTGAATAAGCAATATATATCATATATGAGCAATATATATTGAATCAACAACATACGTAATGAATCAGCGATAACTATACTGCATGATTAACAATTAATTTAAACAGAACACTAAATATATATATGGGTGAATTTCGCTCGTATTGTACGGTTTGAAGAAAAAATTCGAAAAAATTGAAAGTGAAGCGAGAGGGATTTTGAGCTGTGTGTTAGATAGAGCATCGTTAGGTGTATATGACTCAAGTGTTTTCCCGACTGACAGGCTTTCGGCTTAGGAGGTAATTGAGACCTTGAAGTATATGAATATTTCGAGATTTTCGGAAAGATTCGCTATATAAATAAGTTCAGTTCAATAGTGTTTCACGATAATAATTAAAATCAGAGTCATCATCCATAAGAATATTTATTTCGCAAAACAAGAAACAAGGTTTACTATGAAGAAGAACTGAAGTTAGAAATTCTTACGGTCTCATATCTAAAACGGTTCGTCATGCAAATAAAAAAAGTTTTGAATCATAACGGGCAATCTAAAATTTTGTTCTTATCAATGTTTCCATTTCATCTGATTTATCCTTTTTGAATATTTGTCCATTTGGTTTAGCAATAATTTCATGAAACTTTGACTTACCTTTAATTGTTGGTAATGATGGAATCTGTGCTCTCATTAAATCAATATCTTCTTTATTGTAAAGCAAGGATGTCAATGATTTAAGGCATTGAGAATCCTCAGTAGGTATATAGAAAAGTTTCTTCATCGAGAGGCCAAGAATGATTAAAATAGACAAAAGCAAATTTTTTCTGAATATTTTCCGTTATAATCTGTCGTGGCATTTTTATTGAAAAAAATTTGTCTTTATAGTTTTTGAGTAAAATATCGTTTCTTATGAACGGTTCTTTTTTTTAAGCTGAAACTTTTATCATTGGCGCAGCATACCACTAGCTATATATGTTTAAAAAATCACTGGCTAATCTCTTATGGTTCATGAGAAATCCAAAAATTAAAATCGAAAAATCTGTTGTAACATTTTTATTTAAAAAAATCTGTCGTGACATTTTTTGAGTAAAATATCGTTTTCTTATGAATAGTTCTTTATTTTAAGCTGAAACTTTTACCATTGACGCAATGTACCACTAGCTATATATGATAAAAAAATCACTGGCTAATCTCTTATGGTTAAGGAGAAATCAAAGAATAAAAGCACAAAAATCTGTTGTGACATTTAGCGAGACAACAGCCACTTGTCCATCTTATTTTTAGATTTTTGTTTGATCCCGAAAGCTTCTGAAGATTTTTTTTTACCAAAATATTTCTCCCTCTTCACTCTATAAAACAAAAAAAAAGAACTTTGATTTAGCTTGTAAATAGCCTTTAGTAGCCTCAATTTAATCTGTCGTGACATAAAACAGTCAAAGTGTGTGTTTAGACATCATTGCAAGATTTGATGACGAAATCGAAAGCGAAGTCTTGATCGATTCACATTGTCAGAAACAGTATGTTCATGACTACTAGCTGCTACGGAAATTCTTTTTATCCAGTCACAATTATTGGATATAAAAGAAATTTTCAGTGATAGATGTCGCCCAACAGCTGCCATTTTGCTCTTATATTTTTAATAACTCCTTAATCATGCAGCCAAATAAGCTGATATTTATACCGTAAGTGGGGTAGACTGAGTGGGGTATTTGATAAAAAAATTGCCCAAATTGATTGAATAGAATGGAAGATATAAGCTTTTTTGTGTTCTCAGAGCAACCGTACAATACGAGCGAAATTCACCCATATACATATTGATAATATTTCATTTACTTAAAATCATAAGTGCTTTCTCGTGTTCATGAAATACTATGTATAATTAATACAAATCACAACGTGGTGCATACTGTGTTTCTCATTTTGAAAACGACATTGATATCAAATTTCAACTTTGTAATAGTACTAGAGTATTTTTAATAAACGGTAAAACTCACAAAAATTCCAAATGGAAATTGATATTCCTAATAGACTGAACTGATTCTGCGAAGATCAACGATCACTCAAGAAGATCCATATTTTATTCCTAATTGTTAGAGCTATTAGACTTGCATATGTATATATCGTGTCGAAGTTACACCGGTAGACGAACTTATAACTTTTACAGATATTTTTGTGGAAATTATTTTTAATTTATTTATAAATCAACAACTCCGCAAACTAAATATATTTTTCAATGAATAGATCATTAAAAGTAAAAAAAACTCCTAATAAATATTTATTTCATAATAGAAATTATTCACAAATTACACAAAACAACATGATTTTTTGGTGGTTTGTTTATCTCCTTTCGAGTTCATTTCTATTAAATTCAAAGACGATCAAATTTAGAGAGTTATAGATTTATTTTTTGCATGAAATTTAGCATCAAGGTAGTTGTGAGAAGAATTTGTATAATAGTATGATATTGATTCTTGCATTTATTAATCAAATAAAGTCAGTTGAAAACTTTTCATACAATTTTAGTTTTTGTATTTTCACGTGTAAAGTATATAATAATGAAGCACAAGTTAACCTAATAATATTAATCAAGAATTTGCACACGTAACTCATCACAGCCTGAATAAGCAGGTTATAATCAATAAATTCAATTCAAGTTGATTGATGAGTATATGTGCTAGTTGAAATATTTTATCATTCACATTTTTTCCATATCATGACAGAACAAATTTATTTTCATCAGATATACTCAGCATCTTACTAAATGATGTTTTTATCTATGTCATCTGCTGCTGTAAAAAGTAAATCTGTAAGTATTAAAAAGAAAAAATAGTATTTCAATTAACAAAATCTGGTTTTTATCAATAAATTTACAGTTGTTGATAAGAAAAAACCGGTTGTGAAATAAATGTATATTTATTAGGATTCTTTTTACTTTTGATAATCTATTCATTGAAGGAAAAATATTTAGATTGCTGAGTTATTGATTTATGAATGAATCAAAAATAATTTCGACAAAAATATCCGTAAAAGTTATAACTTCGCCAAAAATATCTGTAAAAGTTATAAGTTCGTCGACCGGTGTAACTTCGACCCGACATATATATATCTAAGATTTTAGATTTTTATTTACTTGCATAAGAAAAATATTAGAAATTTTACTCTACCAAATTATGCATTATGACCTAAAAACGTAACGTTCTGTCTACTCAAAGGAGGATTCTACGCCGAAGTAGTTGTTGTGCATTAAAATGCAATAAATAAGAAAGTAAATTCATGATATTTTTTTATTCAAGTAAATAAGTGTTAAATTTTGGACATATATGTAAATTTAATAGCTCTGTCGATTGAAAATATTAAAAACATAGTTTTTTTTGGGTCTTTTTAGGTTGAGAAAATCAGCATTTATTGAAAAACTTCTATAATATTCAACGTATTTAGGCCTTTTCAATCTTCGTAGTATTAGCTCACGAAGCTCTATCTATTACTATAGTAGTGATATCAATCTCCGATTTTGAAGGTTTCGTGTGTCTTCTCTTATTTTGCATGTGTCTCACGATTTGCCTATCCATTTAGTTAAAACATTGCAAGTATCCACTAGAGGCAGAAAAGCTGGAAATCAGTACAAAAAAAAGAGGCAACCTATAGAAAGCAAAAATAATTGTAATCGGATAATCATCAAATA